GTTCTATACTGTAAAAAGCATATAGTAAAAAGGCTATGTCGATTAGTAATGGATTATAAATATACTTAATTCTGATGAAAATACCAAAGATGGCTTGAATAACGGATAAACTATACATTGTCGCAGTCTAGTGTTTATTGTCTTTGTTTTATCATTCAAAACGTTTATATCTTCTGTTTACTCAGTTACAGCGATACCAATGCCTTTGTCCATATTAGCAAAGAGTATGGAAGACCAAGAGGCAAAACTCTGTAGAACGTTCCATTGCAACAGCGGCGCCAACAGCAGCCCTGCGCTAACGCCATTTTGGGGTGAATGCAACTTGGCAGTCCACTAGCTTCTTACTGTCGCTATGGCAAATTTTTGGACCAAAAAGTAAGACTTAATCCGCTTAACATGTTGCTTTACGTGTATGTATGGATCTATGCAGCATGCACGTGTAACAGTCATCTGCACAACAGAAGTGGTTTGTTGTTGTTGACTTAAGCCGCTTTTCCACCGAAATTACCTGGAACAATTTGTCCCAGGAATTTTTTCCCCCCAGACCTGTTGCTGTCTGCGTTTACATCGCGGTCTAAAGTACCGAGAAGATTAGACAAATAGCAAAGAGTACAGAAGACCAAGAGGCGAAACTGTAGAACTTTCCATTGCAACAGCGGCGCCCAGCAGCAGCCCTGCGCTTCCGCCATTTTGGGGTGAAAGCGACTCGGCAGTCCACTAGCTTCTAGCTGTTGCTATGGCAAATATCAGCTGCTTTGTTTACAAAAACCGTACATTAAAGATGAAATACAGCCTGAACGATGACAACAATAACGTACAATCACTAGACTAGTGACCATCAAATCCTCCTAACAGTTTATTTTACAGACTTTATTTTAAAGTCTTCCCTTTTTTCACAAAACCTTTTGCTCTCTTAAACCATGTCAGTTTCAGTTATAAATATTTTAAGTTTAAGTGTTGATAATCGGCATAATCGTCAAAGCCCTAAAACAGACAATTAATCGCAATAACCGTGACTATTTTTAGACAATTAATCGTCAGCCAAATTTCATAATCGTGACAGCCCTAGTGTTAGCATTATAAACACTAATTTAATTTCATATGTTGGTATTAATTCAATGACAGAAAAATTAGGAATGTTAGACAAAAAATATATAACCGGAATATAACAGCTTGACAGTAAACTGTTTTTGCAGTATTGTCTTATATTAATGTCCGTTAAAGACTGTAAACAAAACAAAAAAATGTATGTAAAAAAAAAACACGTACATCCACTTTCTCCAAAATTGCTTAATTATTTAATTATGACAGAGACACAGCAATGCATCATCTAATCTAGATCATCATGTTTGTAGTGTGTTCCAGGGGATTAAAACATACAATATATATTTCAGACCTAGTGGAATAATAGTAAATAAAATATAGCAAGTAATTGTAAATGTGTAAAGTTGCATAAGCGCATTACTTAGTTAGGGTGTCCGCGGGGTCTTAAAGTATTACAAGTTGATAAATCAATTTAGAGAAAATTAAGGCCCTTAAAAAGTCTTAAATGCCATTTTCCATGGTATTAAATTTTGTATAATCTTTTCATTATGTATATTTGTCCGAATAGTGGGGTTCTGTGTAGTTTATGGAATCCTGCAAGATTTGACGTCATCTGTTACGGCTAGGGTTGGGTATCGAAAAACGGTTCCATTTTAGAACCGGTTCCAAATTTCCAAGAACCGGGTATTCGATAAGACGCGTGCATTTCGATTCTGCTTAACGATTCCTGCGTTCGCATTTGTTTGCGTGCAGCGCACACGAAGCACAAGCGCGAGAACTGAGGTCGCGGTACGGGTTCCCGGTTTGTGTCCGTTCTCGAATCGTTCCGTGTATTTCCACTGCAGAAAAGGTTGTTCCGGGCCGAAACTGACTTTCATACTTGTCGACCAATATGCAGAAAACTACGTCAGTATATCATCATAAACACAGCCGTTTTTGTCTTAAGTGAACGTAAACAGATGAGAAAGAAAACACACATGTACAGTATTTTTAGATCTGCATGCGTTCGGTGTTAGAGAGACAGCAGCTAGAGCCCTGCATTTCAGCCCTGGCCCCACGGCCCCCGACTGTTTTACGCCGAACAAAAGAAAATTATTCACTGATCTTGACTGAATATATTTAATAACTTTAATTGATTCATCTATATTTTATGAAAAGAAAACTATGCAGTGTTTTTAAACTTTTAATTACAGTTTCTGTACCTGAAATTTTGTTCTGTGGTATTTATGATATTGCTAATTGATTTGCTTGTTCCTATCTTATTACTGACTGTTTACTTGTCTTTAACTCTTATATATTTGAAATTTATATTAATCTGTTTTTGCTGACAGAATGCTTTGTAAAAAGACAAATGTTTGACATCTAAATGTTTGACTTAATTTTTTTTATATTGGATTTTTTTTGTCTTATTGTAATCGAAACTAGGACTCGATAAGAATCGGAATCGATAAAATTCAAACGATACCCAACCCTAGTTACGGCGCTCACTGACTGACTGCGCCGCTGCGTGATAGCACGGGGCTTGTTGATCCCGCTCTCGCTGAATTTCTGAAACATTTTGCATTCTACCTGTAATCAAACTGTGCTAAATGTTTTGGGCCACACTAGTAGGAAGCATTTTAAACCGATGCATCACATCGTTAACTTTTTATGCCGATGCACCGAGCGAATCGGGGAATTTTCCCATCCCTATTACGTTTGTAATATAATGTTTATTTCCGTCACAGGTTTGGTATTAAATCAGAAGGTGGTATTAAAAAGGTGTTAAAGTCTTAAATTTAACTTGTTCATATCTGTAGACACCCTGATAAAGAGACAGCGTTATACCTTATCTTCCACTAAAAGGTGGTCAGTTTGAGGGTGCTACCCCAGTGACAAGCTGTTGTATGCCTAAAGGTACAATTTTTGTGCATAATCGCATCGTTAACTTTTTATGCCGATGCACCGAGCGAATCGGGGAATTTTCCCATTCCTATTACGTTTGTAATATAATGTTTATTTCCGTCACAGGTTTGGTATTAAATCAGAAGGTGGTATTAAAAAGGTGTTAAAGTCTTAAATTTAACTTGTTCATATCTGTAGACACCCTGATAACCAGGTACTGTACCCAGTGGAAAACCCCCCAAAAGTGAACCTTACCCAGCCGTACCGTGCCCTACCATGCAGTGGAAAAGCGCCTTTAGTGAGCATGTATGGTAAAGGGTCTGTATCTTCTTTTTCTGTGAAAACAGATCTTGCTACTAAAGAGACTAACTGAATAGGTTCAAGGTTCAGTCCTCTCAGGGAGTCAAAAGAAAGATTATTATTTTATTTTTTTTTACTGTTATCCTTTCTCTCTGTGCTTCAGATGGGGACTGGTGTTGCGAGCCCCAGCGCAGCCCCTGCGAGTGCAGAGACACAGTCTGCCTCCTCTAAGCCTCTGTTCCCTAACTCTGCCCAAGTACGCACTAGTTTGTGTGCTTCTCTTTAAATCAGCACAACATGCAGATGAGACACTGGTGTCTGTCATTAGAAGATATGCACATGCTTATAAAGCTGTCTTGATATTTAGGCAGATATTTAGTTGGTTAGTGTTTTGATTAGTTTCTTCATGCATGCATATGCCTTTTTGCATTGGATGTGTTAAATGTACAGTGTTTGTAAACAAAAAAAAATTAGTGTTTTTTTTTTTTTTTGCAAAGTTTTTAACTACCAGTAATACCCTTTTTGGGCTTTAAGAGGTTATGTTTGTTTTTGTAAGATTTGTTTTATTTGCAAAAATATTATTACTCCTGTAATTATCCAAAACGGCTTTACTTGCCTTGATTTTTTATTTTTTTTGTGGGTGTTTTGGCAGTGTGCGTTGTGATTGGGGAGGACCTTTGCCTTTATTGCGAATATATTTTGAAAACGTCGCTTTAATTTCAGGCGCAGCAGACAGTATCGGGACCATCATCAACCACCTCTGATTCTCCTAAAGTGACATTCCCAGCCTACACCCAGCCTTCCTCCACTCCCTCTGTTGCTGCCTCCTCCAGCACTGTGGCCAAACCCCCTGCCACAGTCACAAGTAAGCCAGCCACCCTCACCACCTTGAGTGCTACCAGTAAGTTGATGCACCCTGATGAGGATATTTCGCTGGTGAGTGCTTGAGTTTTGCTTTAACTACTTTTTTTGACCGTAAGTAATTGTGAATGCATTAACTGGTATTATGAAATATTGCTGAAGCACAAATTAGAGTTAACTGGTGTCATGAGAATACATGCAGTCCAGAGTGTGTTCTTGTTACTGCAAGTGACTGATGACATTGTTGTTATCTTGACCCCAATTCAGGAAGAGAGACGGGCTCAGCTGCCTAGATACCAGAGGCTAATCCCTCGTCCTGGGCAGACTGCAGCAGCTGCTGCCTCAGCTCCCCCTAGTGGAGCAGTGGGAGGAATGATATCTGCCCAGCGGGTTATACCTCCTCAGCAGCCTGGAATAAGGCATCCCATACATGGTAAGATTGTGTCTGTTGATCATATTATTTCTATTTATTATTTCTTGTTGTCTTATTGTCTTATTCATTATTGGCATTGTAAATACATACATTTTCAGATTTTTTTTTTCATCTTGTTTATAAATTAAGCTAAGTTAAGGCCCCAATATACTCATAATACATACATTTTCAGATTTTTTTTTTCATCTTGTTTATAAATTAAGTTAAGGCCCCAATATACTCAAAATGAAGTTCCTTTTTGTTCTTCGTTTAGGGGTAAAACGAAATACAAAATACATGAGCATTGGGTATACTGTTATCGAACATCCCAATGCTGCCCACTCTGATGAAAGCAACGTTTATATAAATATGTAAATATGTGCTGCGCGCTTTCCTCTCAGTAACAAAATAAACACAACAAAAATGGAGAAAACGGCATGAATATTTTCTTCATAAAAATCTGATCATAGCAACATGGGTATGTTTGCACAGGCTCTGCAAATTAGCACTCACATGAAGTCACGTGTATTTACATGGCACTTTATTCAGTATATTGCTTAAAAGCAAGCAGCAGTATTAAACATGAAAAACAGTGTCTCATTTCATTAAAAGCAAAACTTAATTTGCTACTATAAAGTGGCTTTCCACTGCGCGGACATCTCACCTCCAAGGACTCGACAACGAAATGAACCCAGAGAAGAGTTCCACGTGAAAGAAGGCGGAGCCTCAGAGCACACCTCCTATGACGTAATCGTCACGGGCCAATGGTAGTACGAAGGTGTTTTTGGCCGGATTTTGTTCGAAATGAAGTTACATCAGTTCATTCTTAGATTTTGCTTGAAGTATATTGGGGCCTTTATACACAATGAAATTGCTTGATTTTTCCATTGAGTAATAGACTTTCTATATTGATCAATAAACGGGGAATAATTTAGAATAAAGATTAAAACCCAGCATTTAAAAGCACATTTTTATTTGCTTTATGCCATGTTTATACCATACATCATACTTTTATGTTGCCATCCCGTTAAAGGGAAGGACATTTACAAAGCAACAAACAATTTGCAGCAAATGATAAACTTCTTAAATGCACTTGAATTGGAAAGTGAAACACTGAGTTTATCAACTTGCATGTCATTTTTAATTAAAGCAATACGCACCGAGAAACTGTGGTTTACAGTGATTTTAGAGCAGATCAGGGGAATTGTTGAACTCTGCTGATTTAAAATCACTGTAAACCCACAGCTTCGCTGTAATTATTGTTTTTATAAAACCACACATACCTAACAACATTTCATAAAATAAACACATAGAAACAAAAATGTAATTTGAGCATGCTTATGCCAAACAGTGTAGTTCTTCAGTACTGATTAGCAGAGTGGTTACCAGGCAATAAATCATGCAGTGGCTCAGTTATACAGATGTAATTAGATCAGAGGTGTAACTGCTGTAAATGCCAGTCATAGTCAAGGACCGGAACTGTCTGTATTATAGATCATCACTGAATACCATAAACACATGTTGACTTACTAAAATAAGGGAATTTTAACTCTTTCCCCGTCAGCATTTTTGAAAAAAGTTGCCAGCCAAGCCAGCGATTTTGATGATTTTCACTAAAATTTGATGGCCTCCAGTATATTTTGCTATATGAATATTTGAATATGCAATACACCAAAATAAAGATTAGAGCCTCTACTTTTAAACAAAAATGTTTTTTTTTCTAGGATAAAGCATTATTTTTTTATCAACACTTGAATATAGGTAGGTTTCATAAATTCATAATTTTGAGCAAAAAGGTGAGAAAATCAATTTTTTATCACAAAAACTACATCTGGATAATATTCAGTACAATTATCAAAGCATAAATCCAGTAAATCGCTTCCATCAACACCTCCAAAGCTTGCACAGACATATACCACTTCCTGGATCAACATTTTACTCTGTAACATTATGCAGTTTTCATTTATATGCTGTCTATTGCTGATGATTGCATTATTTTTCATAAGCATCTGTTCACATAAGAGATCGCTCGGTTCTCCGTCCTGTTCACGTGTGTTTTTGTTAGGGAGGTTTTGTACTCGTTCAGAAGATGTGTAATAGCGCCTTTGAGTGTATAACGGTGAAAACACGAAAAGCCGTAAACTCGTCTTTGGCGGGGAAGCGTTTTCTTGTAAAAGACGAGACAACTCGTCAATGGCGGGGAAAGAGTTAAGTGCAAAATGATTTAAAACTTGCTCAAGTAAATGCATTCACCTAAATCATTAAGTATGGTAGACCTAACTGCTTCAAGGTTAGGTGTTTAGTCACTATGTACGTTTGCTTTCAGGTCAGTATGGTGGTCCTCCACAGGGCATGCCTGGTTATATGGCTGGTGGCATGCCTCCTTATGGGCAGAGTGCCCCAATGGTGTCTCCATACCAAGCTGGGCCTCCTATGGGCATAAGGCCACCTGTAATGTCTCCAGGCAGCCGATACTGAAATGGCGCTGTCATCCCACTAGGTTTGGAGGTTAAACCTTTTCTCATCTTGTGCTTTTAACGTAGCCAATCCAATGAGCTCTAAACCCACTGCTGAAGAAAAACTGCATACTGGACATTTGAGAGATGTAATATCACACAAGAGTTTTGGATTCAGCCCTTAAATAAAGACAAAGAAGATAACAGCAGCATCAATGTTACAGTTGATACATGTATTGCTTTTCTTCCTATTGTGTTTCATTCAGGTTGTACAAGTACAGTATATTAGACAAAGGTTCATAATATATTGAAGCCGCTGGCCTAACAGTATCTCCATACTCAAGGCAAGTTCCCAGTAAGATTTCTGCTTTTATCTTAGTAGTGAAGCCCTCACAGCACCATACTGTGCTGTTGGACTCTACGTCCCCAACATCAGCTTGGTGAGGGCTTCAGATCACTGTTGTCATGGTGTTTTGTTTTCTTTTTGTTTGCATCCATTTATTCAGGGTTTAAATAGCACAAGGGTAAATGTGCCTCTCTGTAATTTTTTTTTTGCTACATGTATTGTAATAAAACCTACTTAATTTGGTATTTTTTTTCTTCTTGATTTTGTTTTTGTGTGAGTGTGTTTCCTGAACAGTGGAGTCTTCAGGCAGGTTGGTTTTCTTGATAAAGCCATAATGACGTTACAGATACACTCACTCTGTAATAAGTTTGTTCTGGAATGTTCATAAAGGTATTTCGTGTTAACACTATTAAAAGTCATTTATAGTAAAGAGTAAAGCTGTTATCACTCCTTAACATTTTTAACGGTTAAGTTATACATTTTTGCTTAATAACCTAGTTGCATGAATGAGCTTTCCAGAAGTTGGATTTAAAATGCACCACACATTTGTCTGTGACATGCTTGATTGATATTTCTCAGTTACCCAATATTATTTTCATACAATGGCTTGGAAGCATTTCCTGGTCTGCAGGTAAGAACCACTGTGTGAATTACATTGTAAAGGATCTGATTTTACTGCATGTTTTTGAAATTCACCCATGGTTTTAGTTTTTCTCATGTAATTGACCAGAAACTGTTTTAGCGTTTGGGGGAAAAGCAGGAAAAATTTACTCAAGATATTTAACCTGTCAAGTGTTTGCCAGACAGTCATGCTATTTAGAGTAACATCTGTGTTCAGATCTATCAGATTTTTCATGCCCTTAAATCAGGGGTTGCCAACCCTGCTCCTGGAGAGCTACTATCTTTCAGAGTTTAGACTTTCAGAGATTAGTTTAACCCTAATCCATAACCATGTAACCATAGTGTTTATGATTACTTCAAAATTACAGGCGTGCTATTTGATTTCACACCATAGGTTTACATCTTTCCCAATTTGGTGTTATTTTGAAGGAAAAAGTTCTTTATTTATTGTTGATAGTTAAGTCTTTATCGTGAAACCGGTAATCGTTCCATCCCTAGTCAGAACATATAAACTCAGTGCCGAAAAGTATTCTTAGGATTTATAGCAGAGAAGGTAGTTTGTTTGTTTTTGTGATGTTACAAATGTGAAATAAACATCTGTAATCTACTTTTTGACTGTGTCATTGCTTGGATTTTAATATGCAATATACAGTACCAGTCTAAGGATTTTTTATTTGTTTTCTACAAATTGCAGTAGTAAAGCTAAAAGAGTAAGACATCTGTCACTAATTGTCTTAGACCACAATTATGCTTCTAATCCAAAGGTTTCATGAACCGTATCTTTTTTTATTTTGGTATGCCATTTCTTGGGTTTGGATCAAAAAGGAGTGCATACATTTGTATGTGTTAATCTGTCTTCCAGATCTATTTAACCAAAGCTACTAGTGCTTTTGGATCATTTAGAATAGCAGAAATCCAGTGCTTCGCTAGCCCTTAACGTTAGTTAAACCTTAAATAGTTCAAATAAATCAATAAAATCTAATTGACCTGTTCAAAACATTTGAGAACACACTCTACAAAAACAAGAAGCCACATTTTAAAACATGTTTACTGTGGTTTCCTTTACCTCTTGCACTTTAAAACGCCTCAAAACAACACCCCTTACAAAGGTGAAGTTTAAGACAATTTGTTAAAAGTTTTGTTCTAAACATTTTATTGGAGAGCATTAAGAAAAAATGCTTTTGTGTAGTCTGCTTACAACACTGATACTTGGGAATGTTATTTGACATTTTTGTTTGTTTTTTGTTTTTCACAGATTATGTTGAATTGCAAGGTGTCTTTAAAGGTGTAAAATCATCTCCACAGGGATCAGTATGATATTTATTTTCAATCTTCTCCCATGTTCATGAATTTAATCAATAGCAGACTGGTTGGAACTTTGTTGGTGGTTAGAATATACAATAATATTTACAGTAGTAGTCAAAAGTGAGTCAGTGCCCACGAGAATGGCTGCTGTAATCAGAAACAAAATAATAACTGATTACATTGTAGTCAATGTATGCTTTATTTTCTGTGAGCTTTTTGTTATTGTTCCATGATATGCTGGAGTTTGCATTTCCCAAATAATTGTAATTTAATAACTTCACCAAATTTAGTGTATCTTCCTCCCATACTCTTGAACATTACAGTCCTTTTTGACTACTTACTTTCCCACCCTCTCAGATGTGTAACAGCATGTGCATGTCTCCTGATGTAAACTTAACTGACATGACCAGCCTGTTTCTGTTCACCAATGTGTCTGTGTTCTCTGTAATTCAGGCACTATAACTATTGATCCTGTGATATTAATAAAGTTAATGTCCACCGAAGAAAGGTATTCGGCACTCAAAAAGTAAATGGACAGTGCCGTCCATTGGAGCATATGTTCCACACTCTAAAAAATGCTGGGTTGTTTTAATCCAACTCTGAGTCAAATATATGGACTAACCCAACTGTTGGGTTAAATTTTTCAATTAAAGTTTTTACCCAAAAGTTGTTAGTCCATATTTGACCCAAAGATGGGTTGAAATAACCCAGCATTTTTTAGAGTGCTGATGTATATTTTTCATACTGCTAATCTGATGATAACAGGCATAGGCACTCTTTTTGCTAGAAACAAGTAAACAAGCAAAGCGAACCGGTGTAATCAGTAAAGAAATGACCGCTAAACTTAGTTTTTATTGTTGCTGTTTGTGTTCAGGGTTTAAATGCCAAAAGACAACAGGGGATATGCATTTCTCATCTTTCTTTTTAGATTGTGAAGAAGCACTCAAATTAATTATTAACCAATTATTATGGTTAGATTATTATTTTTAACCTTAATAATCGATTGAGATTGACTTGTACTTTAGTGGTTGGTTAGACCAATGATTTATGGGTAAAATAGCCTACTATCATTAGTTGAAAGACTAATAAAGAGACCACTATTAACTAGTTGCTTATTAGCATGCATAGTACTAACATATTGGCTGTTTATTAGTACTTATAGAGCACCTATTAATGCCTTATTCTACATGACCATATTCTACATCCCTTAACCCCATCTTAACAACTACCTTAAGAACTGTTAATAAGTAGTAATACAGAGTTTATTGAGGCAAAAGTTGTAATTAATAGTTAATAAGAATTGGTCCCCAAACTTAAAGTGCGACCTTGTTATTAAATACATACTACACTTTTGACTTACTTATTAAACAAGTTAAGTCACCTTTATTTATATAGCACTTTATACAATACAGATTGAATGCATCAAAGCAGGAAAATAGTTTGTCAATAATTAAAGAGGACAGTAAGGAACAGTCAATTTTTCAATATAAAGATGAATATACAAAAAAAATCTGTACGTTTTCACAATGATGAAACTGAAATTGACAAACCACTTCACTCTTGTTTCCTTTTCCTCTTCAACCTTCAAGGTGGAGTCTAAACACTGTGCTCCTCATTTTTACGTGGCATGATTTACGCTCTGAGACTTTCTGGCTTTCTAACCATAGTCACTATTTTCTTTATTTAATTTACTTTTTAATAATGTTTGGTCTTAAGTATGCTCATGTTGTTCTCTTGTTTCTTATCAGTCCTTCTGTAACTGGTAAGTTAATATTTCACTCTGTTTTAACCTTTTTGTTGTAGTTTTTTTTTATTTTTATAAAAGACTGAATACATTGTGGTAATCTCATAAAATGGTCAGCAGTAAAACTAAAGTTTACATACAGAAATGTTTGTCCACAACACTTTGCAGTCAGACATGCTACATTTATGCAGCAAAAGTGTCCTCATAAAACTTAATGCTGAATTTTATTTTGGCAGTCTTAGAGCAGTTGTGTAAGGAAACACGTGTGTAAATTGCATGTGTTTTGCGATGCATGTGATTCATCTATAAAATGTGACTAACTTTAAGCCATTTCACCTCAGCACATGGGGGTATTGTTTATATCCACAGAGTAAGAAATTCATCCATTGACATTTCCTGTGACTCGCCCAATAAAGAAGAAAAACCATTTGCCTTTTCGCTGAAACGCAGGTTGCTACAATCCAGACGAGTGCTGTATCTTTCTAAAGAATTCCCACCATTTATCAATAAATCTGAGGACAAGGGTCGCATTACTGTACGTGATGAGTTGGACAATCACACAGTTCATCTGACAATCTCAAACCTGCAAGGACAGGACACAGACGTGTACCACTGTGAATTCCACTATGGTGATCTTCCATATGATAAGAATGTTCCTGGCCAGATGGAGTTCTTCATTTATGTTGAAGACTTCTGTAGGTGACCTTTACTGATATCACTTCAAAAATGAGTTTACATGAAACAGTCCAGGTCTATAGTAATATCACCTCCAAACACAGTGAATAGTCCAAAACAGGTTAATCTTGCATTCAATCTACTTTAAAAAATCTTAAAACAATCTTTAAAAAGCAAAATCATACAGAATACATTTCATTTTCAACTGAAAATATTTAATTTGCAGCATGATTTTCATGCAGTGTAGCGTGCTATTTTTGGATACAAGTGTAAGACAATTAGTTGTATAATGTTGATTGGCTAACCCTGCAATGTGCATTTATCTTACCTCAACAAGAATGTTGATTGCTGTTAGGTTTCACTATGTTAGCTTGTAGTATCTGATTTTTTCAGTCAACTTTAATCACGTTAAACTGTATGGATACATTTTGTAATCCATTAAATCAAGACATTATATATGTGCAATTTACTAGTACCCCAGTTTATGTAACTATGAGTGAAAGAAAATCTGATACACAGTTGTGTTCGGAAACTGTGTGTAACTTGCATGTGTTTTGCAGTGCATGTGATTCATCTATAAAATGTGACTAAGTCATTTCACCTCAGCACATGGGGATATTGTTTATTTCCACTGAGTAAGAAATTCATCCATTGACACTTCCTGTGAATCTGATGCTACAATACAACTGACATTTCCTGTGAATATAATGCTGCAACAGATTATATTGTTGAGCTTTTTTTTTTTTCTTTATGTGTGTGTTTTTGTTGTGACTATGTTGCAGCTCATGAGCCTTGTAATTGTTCAAGTTACCTGCCATTGCTGTATGT